CCCAGTTTGTTTGATTTGGGAATCAATAAACCTTTGGTTTCAAGTTTTGGACAGGGTATCAGTAACCTACAGAGTTCTGAGTTTTCATTTTCTACTTTATACCTGCATACCAAAAAACTCACAAAATATAAAAGCAGAGACTTGCTGACATCTGCATTGAAAGAACAACTAGAGACAGGGATCATGAAATGAAGGAGACCTTCAAAAGGAAGTACAACCGCTTGCCTCAAGAAGCTTGTGTGTGAAAGATGCATCAGACTTGTAGACCTACCAGTAGAACTGGAAGTGAGCCAGAATTCTGGTTCCATTTCTGACAGGTTTATCTTGGAGAAAAACAGTATCACTTGAAATATTTCTATGTTTAACAGTTGCAAAGATTAAAAAAACCCTAGATTTTCTTAATTCAGTATGGTTAAGTATCTTAATGGTGAGATAAGCATGTAGTCTCATTAGGTATTCAAGATAACCTCAGTTGGTTTAAACTTGGTGCTAATAACACTGAGGTCATTGGTTCAATCCCCTGTATGGGTCATTCACTTAAGACTTGGACTCGATGATCCTTGTGAGTCCCTTCCAACTCAGATTAACCTGTGATATCAGGGGCTTTTTGATAAGAATAGTGTTCAGATTGAAACCATAATTTCAGTATTTAAATGATGTAATTGTTAATTACAGTCGGGCTAATTTTAGTAGTCAAGTGAGTAGAAATTGAAGAAAAAAAGAACCTTTTTGCTCTTTATTCTTGTAGTAGTTACTGAGACTCTTCTGGTACGTACTCCTTAAAATTTTCCAGTCTTAGGCTAAAAGCCACAAAGCATATATATTCCAACACTTTCAATTACAGTCTTGATCTTTCACCTTTAGTACCTTTTCTTTTAATCTTTTTGCTTAAATTTGCTTCTGCTCAGTGTGTTGACGTCATTGTTTCTTACAGGAGTTTGGAGTTTGGGAGGGCAGGAGTGGGAGTGCAGGAAATAATAGATGATATGCCAGGAGGCATATGATGTCAGTGAGTGAGTGGAGGGAAGAATAGATGAAACAACCACAAAAATTTAAAGGGAGGCTGTGAGCTGTAGTGGCACGTAATGGAGACCACTGGGAACATTCTTGGATGTGGACAGTCAGGTCTGCTTTGCTTGTGCTCTGATAAGGCTGCCTCCAAAGTAGCTCTATTCTGGAAGTCATGCAAACGCAAAATGGTCAAACTAAACATCTGTGAACCCCAGTGTCTTGGATTCAGCACTGCTCAGAAAGATACATCTAACCCTAGCAGAGTGCTTTTTTTCTCTTTACCTAGCCTCTTAGTCTCCAGCAAGAGACTCTACTGTGATTTTGTTTGTTTGAGATTCAGATTCAGTATATCTTGCCTCTCAAAGCTTATTTGAGGGACAGGAGGTACTGTATTAGTCCAGAATCACATAGATGTTAAAACACTTGTTTTACATCTTACAGTTTTGAAGAACAGTCTGCATAAACACAGTTCTCCAAAATTGTCTTTCTAGACAACTTGTTTATTCCAGATTGCTCCACCTCGATGCTTCTACACATTTTCCCTGTCAGGATGATACTACTAAGGTTTTCAAAGCACAGCAGATTAGGATCTATCTGGAAGAAAGAGTTATGCTGAGGTGGAAGTGCAAGAGTGTTATTTTTATTCTGAGATTTCGAATAGAAACAAAAGATAGGACGTGAGGTCCTAATCTGTTCATGAGTTCCGTTTTCCATGTTACAGGATCAGAGTTATAAAGCTTACACAGTATTTCTCTGAGGTAGAAAACATTACATACTGGCAGCCTTTATCAAGAGATAGTCATACTATCTCAGATCTTAAAAAAACCTGTTTTTTTTTTTTCAGCACTTAAGAACTTTTATGTCTAAAAGGTACTAACTAGATCCTCAACAAAATGGTTACAGAAGTTTATGTTCTGCTTTGTATTTCCCCAGAGGCAAGGAAAGTACAGTCAATATGTCAGATATGTTGTAGCTGTTGTTTATATAGAGTGAATCTTGAGATCGTGATCGATAGGGCTCTTTTATATGTTTTGGCCTAGTGGTGTGGTAAAGTTATGAATACTGAGAGGCAAAGCTAAGGTTTTTCATACCCGTAATGAAAAACTGATATTCTTTCTGAGGCTGGTATTCGCACAGGCTTAGGTAAAAGTAATTAAATCAGGCTGTATGCACTCACGGGTCATTGGCTTGTGGGGTTTTTTTGCTCCAAGTCAGGGTATAGGCACTCAAATAGCAAAAGGCATGTTCAAATTCATGCAGATATTTTTGGTGGGTTTATCTGCATTGCTTGATGCTCCTGCTGCTTTAGCTGTAACAGGAGAAGTTGAAAGGAAGCTGCAGCATGTTGCTGTTCCTTGCACATGAAGAAATAGTTATCAAATTGCTACAGGTCTGCTTCTGGGGGAATTTGATGTACTGCTTCTCTTGTTGCAGAGGATCTCTGTTTCTCTAATTTCCCTTTAATGTCTGTGAAATGAAACCAATGGGCTGTGTGCAGCTCCTTTTGTCTGAGCACAGCAATAACAGCATTTCTCTGGAAAGGTTTTGTTTTGGGGTTTCTTCCCCCCAGCCTCCTCTCAGTGAACAAACTGTTCTGTCATTGTGCTGACATACTATTTCTTTCTATCTTGACAATTAGATAGGCTTGTGTTTTCAAACATCTCCTTGACTAACTGTAATGGTGATTTGGCAGTTATGAGGAAGATGATATGTCGTTTTTATTTGATTTGCTTAAGTGATGATTATAAAGAAAAATTAAGTTAGAGTTGAAGTTTTCCATTTTAACTAAAGTTGGGCCTTAAAGTAGAACTACTTGGATGTCTTCAGTGCTGAATAACCTCCTTCCATGTGTGAATGATCACACTTAAATATTTTTGAAGAGAAGCTGGAGCAATAGGGAGTGAACCATTGAGCTACTTTGGAATTGAGTAACTTCTACAAATATGAGTAAGCAGGAAGGTGCAGTGAGGGCTGGTTTGTTTTTGTTTTAAGATGGACTAGGACTTTGATGTGTAGTGCAGTTTCAGTGAACAAAAGAAGTTGCTTTTCTTTCCACAGTATGGCCTTACCATCTCCGATAAAGAAAAATGTTCCCTGAAACAAAGGGTTGTTTTTTTGTGTAACCTGGTCTGTGTCAGGTAATTTGCCAGTTAGTGTAAGTGCTAATCTGAAGGTTGTGTATGAGTTTTATTCGGTTCCATTAGGTCCAACTAAACTTTGTAATACAGGAGCTATTATCCTGCCAGTTGTGAGGAATTTCTGTTTTATGGAGCAGTGCTGACACAAAGACAGCACTGTGCAAGCCGTCTTATAACTGAACACTTTCACACTGCAATTTAGGAGGCGTGCAGTTCAGGAAATTGCTGGCTTCTGCTGGAGCACACTTTTACTGCAAGGAAAATTTTATTCGTCACTCAAGTAATTGGCAGTTTTAATACCTTGATAGTAATTACCTTATAAACAAACTAATGCATAAAGGCAAGGCTCTGTGACCTGTTATCTAACTCACAGTCTTATTTAGCCAGTGGAACTGACACATGGTGGTGGTGTTTGTTGTTTTTTATTAAAGTAATTTGTTTCCATTTGTTATAAATACTTTCAGCTAAGAGTTAAAAAAATGCAGTGTACCTCTGCAGACAGCCTGAGGAATGAAACATGATACAAGCTCAGCATTGGAGGGGCTGCAAGATCACTTACCCATTCCCACATGTGGTCAGAGGGCCCATTAATCTAACTTCTGGTTCAGTTTCTGAGTTAAGAATTTTTTGTCTTGAGCAGTAGTCCCCCCACACCCTTTGAATACGTGAGGGTTGTCCATGCTATCCTAATGCATGGCTTACTATTTGATCCAGAGCAAGTATTTCCAACAAAGGCAAACATCTCCCAGAATCAACGTTCTTGTTGATAGTTTTACTGAAAGTGCTTTTGCATACAATCTCTAGGAGCTGGGGAAGCTCCGAAATTTTGATAGTTCATCATACAAGGTACAGGATATACCACAGCTAAACTGACTTCCCAGTGTAACAAGGGTCATTTCAGGTAACGTTTGTTTAATTGGTCATGGTCTGCCTTCACCTATGTACTGTTAGCTCCCCCAAAATAACCCTGTTAACGTTGCTGATATGCGTGTATGATTCTGTACATGCAGCTGAGATGGAAAAACTGGTCGATTGCTGGGTATGAACCAGAAGTGTGATCGCTGGGAAAAGTACATGCCAGTGGAAGTGAAAGAAGGGGTGTTCCTTATAGCAGACTAGGATATCCATGTCTTTAAACAGTTGCAGCCTTCTTGTTGTTGAATTGGATGTGATGCTTAGCGGAAGTTTGACCAGACATGAAGTCCGTAACCCCTGTAATGAGCTCTAATAAGTAGAAATCTTGTTCTTTCCCCATTTGCTAGAAAAATCTATAGGATGAAATACTAGGTCTAATTACACAATTATAGAATGTTTTTCAGAAGGGGTGCACTGTCATCCATCTTTTCTGTTCTAGCTCTGCTTTTTTTCTGAAAATTCAGCCTTGACTTTCATGCCAAGGGAGTTTTCAAGAAACCCGAAGCACTATGTCTAGCTCCTATGATATTAATTTGCTTAAAATAGAAAACAACTCTAATTTCATTTCATTACAGTACTGTGACGTACTGTTCCATGCAAATACCAGGTATTTCTGCTGTTCAGAAACAGATGATTATAGGGTTTTGCATCTTGTTTTAAAAGCAATGAATTGTAGTCATTGGATTATATTGCATTTTTTTTGTTTACTGGGATTATATTTTAAGAAATATGAATGAACACTTAGAGTATTCCAATTTGTGATTTTAGATGGCTAAAAATTAGTGTTATGTATAGAGAACATAGTTTATTAGTTTTATATAATGAGAAATTATTTTCAAGTTGGGGAATTAAGAACTAACTCTTGTCAGGGTTGTGTAGTTAACATGTGTTTACTCTGGAAATGACAGTCTTTTGCGTACTGCCCTTAAATTTCAGGACCAGTAACAAGATTGCCAGTGTTTTGTCTGAACATCTGAAGCCATTTCAGAGTCTAGAAACTTTGGACTTGAGCAACAACAACATATCAGAACTAAAAATGTCATCATTTCCATCATTACAGCTCAAGTATCTGTAAGTGAAACTTAGTATTATTTCATTTTTCTTTCAGGTTACTTTCAAAAAACTTGTTTGAAAACTTAGATTAGCAGCTGTTTGTTAAGGTACTCAAATCTTTTAATTAGACAGACATTAAATATTGCTATTTTCACCTGTTCAGCTTAATATCAGCTGCTATCTTGAATATGTGAGTTGTTACAGTAAGATGTTTTTGTTCATAAAAAAAGCAAAGGCCATTATCCTGAGATGAAACAAATAGATGTATCTTGAGAGAAATATAGTTATGTAACAAAATGAATTTAAGTTCCCCATGGCTAGGCTAGTTTGAAGTTACATGAAGTTTGATAGACTCTGTGAATCTTTCTTAGGAATAATGCAATTCCGGACCTATACTGAATGAGAATAAAGTAATGGTATTACAGCATATTATCTTCCTCTGTTATCACACTCCTGCAGACTAGAGCAGGCATGGTGGTGAAATAGTATTTGACTATAGAATAAGCTGTCGAGCTCTAATTAATATGATAAACAAAATTCCATTTATAAATGAGTAAGTACTGCAAGAGCTTTGTGTCTCACTACTTGGTATTAAGAATTTAATAAATAACTGTAATAATTAAATAACTTCTAGGCATTATTTCAACAGATATCTTAACAATAATCGAATAACCTCCATGGAGCCTGGTACCTTTGATAACTTGTCTACCACACTTCAAGTATTGAAACTGAACAGGAACAAAATTTCAGCAATCCCTCAGAAGATGTTTAAACTCTCCCATCTGCAGCACCTGTAAGTGCAAACTACAATTGACTAATTGTTTTCAGGTTTTCCAAAGCACTGGCAGTGCTTGAACTTTAGCCTTTAACCAGAGACAGAGTGAGACGGATACAAAAAATATATTACTACAACCCCTTGTAACTGCAGCACTGTAGTGAACAAAACTAGTCTTATATGTTGGTGAGATGTGAGTAGTCTTTGTGTTTAAAATTGTTTGCCTATTAAAAGAAAAAAAAAACCAAAAGGCTGGAGAAGGGGTAATAGCGATATTCCTGCAAAAAAAGCATGGGGAAAATAGTAAGTGAAGTAAACTTTTATAGTTCACTGCAGCAGTCATTTACTTTTGTTCTTTCATGGTAAAATGAAAGAAATTCACTTGCTTTCAGAAGGTATGACTATAAGCAATATACTTGAGTAAATAGACCTTCAGCTTCATTGATACAACGCTGTCTAGAAATGTTTTATGAAATAAAGAATGAAGTTATTTAATAAAGTTACTTAATATGAAAGAGACTGGGGAATTTTTTTTTAAATAAAAACTTACAAAGTGTCCAGGAAATGGACAAGAGGATGTGCTACACTTTGCAAATACTGGATAATTAATTCCCATATCAGATAGTCGAGAGTTAAAAATTACAAATTCTCTTAGGTTAACTTTGAAAGTGCAAGGTCATAAGAACACTGTAAAGGCTGTGTGTAGTGGCAGAAGGGTGAGTGCCAAGACCGTTTGAGAAAGAGGGAAGGTGTTTTTGTGTAACTAGTTGTGGAGAAGGAGGAAGAAATGTATAATGAGTGCTTGGCTCCGGATTAAGAAAGAGAGGGGTCACCGGTGACATTAATTTTTGCCTAGTTATCACAACTAAATTGTTAAGTTTTTCTTTCTGACGGATTATTGGTTGCAATTACAAGCTAACCTTAACAGCTCTACTGCGGGATAAACACCAGGAACTTGCTTTCACTTTTAAATTTGTGAACAGGCTTAACCATGACATTCTAGGTCTACAGGGATTCTGGAAGTCTGAAAATCAAGGAACTACCAAGTACTTGTCCTCAGTATCAAAAAGGCAGAACAGTATTAGCATGGTTAAACATAATGGATTACAATAAAATTTTTGATCTTTATTACTTCTTGTCTGTGTTTTATGTGCAAAAAAAGCATTTAAATAAGGTTGTTTTCCAGAGAGGGAAGAAAGGTTCTTGGCTTGCAGGTAAAATTACTGTGCTGTAACTGTAAATTTTATTGATGCAGGGAGCTGAATCGCAACAAAATTAAAAAAATAGATGGGCTTACTTTCCAAGGACTTCCAGCTTTGAAATCATTAAAGCTGCAGAGAAATGGAGTTACGAGGCTCATGGATGGTGCTTTCTGGGGATTGACCAACATGGAAGTCTTGTAAGTATCAAACTTCTGCTGGGAGGTTCTGCTGATAACATATTAAGTAGAATTGCACAAAATTAATAGAATTTCCTGGTAAAATTTAGAGATGTCTTTGAATTAAATTGTTCTGGTGTGGTTTGAAAAACAGCAGTCAGTAGTCAGTGTGTAGGGCAGCACATTCTGAATGCATGTATACAATTTTAGATGTAAATAGAGGCTGCAGCTATCTAGCCAGTGTCATGAAGTCAGATGTGGACCTGTGGCAAAGCATGCCCGCTGCTGAGTTTCTGAACCTTATGTCTTTTGTCTGTTTGTGTGTGTTTGTAGGCAGCTGGACCATAACAACTTAACAGAGGTAACCAAAGGCTGGCTTTATGGCTTGCTGATGCTGCAGCAACTCCATCTCAGTCAAAATGCCATCAGCAGGATCAGTCCTGATGCCTGGGAATTTTGCCAAAAACTCAGTGAGCTGTGAGTAGCTTTATTCTATTCCAGTTTTGAAAGCCGGGTACATGTCAAAACATGAGCTTCTTACTACTGATCTGTGAATTTTTCATAACAGGGTTTCCAAGGTGACAACAACTTTTCTGTATTAGAGAGTTATATTTTGTTGAAAGAAGTTGTAGTCAACTGTGACTGCTTTATTTCACTGTGGGAGTTGTACGAAAGCTGTAGCAGTCACTTTCAAATGAAAGAAATTCATTCTGCAGTAATTTGTGAATTGTTTGAAACAATGCACAAGTGGTGTGGTCAAAAATGGTGTAGTAGTTTTGTGATAACTTTAAGGGGAAAAGATGTGCTCCTCCCAAAAATTCACCTGGGTTGATCTGAGTTAAATAAGCACTGCAGTTGAACATTAAAATGCTTTTTTTCCCCCTTAAATTTGCAGAGATTTGACATTCAATCAATTAGCAAGGTTAGATGATTCAAGCTTCATTGGTTTAAGCGTGCTGGTTGGACTATACATTGGAAACAACAAAGTAAATTACATTGCTGATTGTGCCTTCAGGGGACTTTCCAGTCTACAGATTTTGTAAGTTGACAAACTCAATTTGTAAGGTTAAAAACCTTAAGAAAAACCCTCAGCATTTATAGTTAGTTCTTTTCCTTGTGAAATATACAAGAACCTTTTGTTACCTTCCCCTTATCAGCGTATGTTTCTCTTACAGTATAATTTATTTTCAGAATAGTTGGGAAAGGGAGGAGTTCGTCTTTTGTTAAGGCTGTGCACAATGGATTGTGGTAATTATTATATGAATTTTCAGTAGCATTATTATGGGAAAGACCTGTCTCCATTTGAAGGCAGTGAGCAGCACTGCTACCCACAGCTTTAGGGATCTGAATCATAGTTGTGTCTTAAATAAATCAACATTTTCCCTCATAGTACAAATAAGAAGACAAAACTCAAACTGTGTATTACTATGGATGCTGATGCTTATCTTGACTGGACAATTGCTCTAAGCATTTGAGCTTGTTTTGAAATAGCATTTCTTAAAGGAAGGGGAAGAACAAAGTAAACTAATCTAAATATATTCTACTTTGTTAAAATTGTCCCACTGCGTACAATTGACCCATCTGTTGGCCAGATGAGCAAAATGATTGCCTTTCCCTCTAGGTTTTTAAAAGGATGCTAACACTTTACTTCCAGGGGTTTGCTCACATACTGATACTTTGGGGGTCTAGCACAGATGCATTTCAAAGAGATGTGTGCTATGTTTTTTTAAGAATACAGGGAGTTGTAGATCATAAAGGGAGGAAGTCAGAGAATTTAGAGTTGTCTAGCAATTGTTAGGCTTTTCCTCCCAGATTTTTCTTTCTCCTCTAGTCCTACCCTCTTGATTCTTTGCTGACACACCACTCTGTACACAAATCTCTAATCTCTTTATCCTTCATAGATAACTGAATGTTGTGGATGTTTTGGGTGTTAATTCTATGGGTGTTAATACTATGAACTTAAAAAGACATGAATGTGTTTTGGGCATGATCCCCTCCCCTCCTGTGATGCTCCTTCTCTTATAATAGTCCTGTATCTGAATAACCTTGGAGGGGAATGTGGGTTTGTTTGCTAATGATTCTGAAAACTTTTGAGTTTGTGATCTTTTTAACTATCAATCGGAAAAGTACTAAGAATCAGTCTCTCAGTAAAAATTGAAATAGTTAGTCAGGAAAAGTTTCTCTTAAAAAAACACAAAAAATGACTAAACAAAAAAACAACCTACCAGAAAGCTATTTTAGAATTTTTTTTTTAATAAAATGTGCTGTCAAAGAATTATATACCTTGTTCTTTTTAATAGCTTTTGTGGTTTGATTTCCCCATCCCTCTTAAACAGGGATCTGAAAAACAATGAAATATCCTGGACTATTGAAGATATGAATGGTGCTTTCTCTGGCCTAGATAAACTTAGGAAGCTGTGAGTATTGCTACGATATTTGTATATCATCATTCCTTAAAAAAATTAGCTTAGCTTGTGTGTGTTTCAGGGTACAAGCCCAACACTTAATGATGTTATGTTTTCCATAGCTGAGATGATTTTTTTCTATATAAGATGTTCCTTTTATATAAAAGAAACTTCAGATTTTTCAAGTCAAACTAATCTGAAATATTTTAATTATTATTACTATTTCTGGAAATATTTATCAAAGAATGAGGCTTTCCCATAATACGAAATAATAAATATATCCTATGACAAAGGCATAGTGACAGAGATAGTATTTGATAAAGTAATGCAGCATCCAATGGAAGTGGCTTCATTTCATTGAGATTTTCAAATGCAGATCTATGAAATAAAAAGATATTTATATGTATATATTTAGAATAATGCATGTCACTTAACTGTACACCTTAAATGTCTTCTAAAATTATGGTAAAATCTAGATATTTATTCAAGGTAAATAAATTAATATCTTTTAGATTTGAGAGATTTTACTGCGTTGGAGATGGCTTAATAGTGAATATTAGTCACAGTTTGGAAACAAATGCCAAATGCACAATTATTCAGCTCAGAAATAATCTTGATTTAATTTCATCTTCTTTGCATTATGTGCTTAAATTTTTTAGGATGCTCCAAGGAAACAGGATTAGATCCATTACAAAGAAAGCATTTTCTGGTTTGGATGCACTTGAACACTTGTAAGTAGTAGAAACTGACATTTAACCCAAAATTGGAAAAAAATAATTTTGATACTGATTGAAATAAAAATGGGACTAATAAGCTTTACTTGTGACTTTGGATGAAATACAATTATCATGGTTGCTACTGTGATCTTCAGAAGGTTCTTCAGTTTTGGAGTTATGCTGAGTATTTTGGAATTAATGCAAAAAGTGTTGTATATTAAGCGTGCTATAAAACTCCTTAACTGTGTCTCGTTCACTTTAGAGCTTGAGGATCCTTTGTATATCACTAGAATAGCAATCTATTCCTTGAGTCTTAAATATATTCAGTTTAATAAATTACTGCTTTCCTCTAATGTTATTTTTCTTTTGTTTTCCTAGAGATCTAAGTAACAATGCAATTATGTCAGTTCAAGGAAATGCATTTTCACAAATGAAGAAACTCAAAGAATTGTAAGTTTCTATCAAAAGACATCACCTCTATTAAATATATATATATATAAATATATAAATAAAAGCCTTGTAAGATGTCACCTAATGCAGTGATAAAGTTGTGCTGTAATCTATCTGAAGTCACATAAAAAGTTTGTCAGTGTTTTGGGTTCTTTTATTTTTTATATGATGGGTGTATTTAAGTGAGAGAGTGTGGGATAGGAGGCATTTGTTTTCTGCTACATTTGGTGTCTATAAAAAGTCCTTATTTTAAATTGACTGGTCTCTGATGGGTTTTAAATAAGGAAGACTTTGATGTAATATGCTATAAGATCAGCAGTGCTATCATTGAGCTAAAGCTTACTGGACCAGTGAAATACAGTGCTGCAATTCTTTTGTAAAGACCTGGTTGTCAGTGCTTGTAATTGGGTCCTTCTGTCCTATAATAGCAAAGGGACAGATCTTCAGAGAAGTTGTGAAGCGGTCACTGGGAAAAATGTATTCTTCTAGTGAGGATTTTCTTTTTGTCCTCTTACCATTTTTTTCTATTGATCGATATGGAACAACATTGTCACTGCTCCCTGTGTTTTAAGTGCAGCTAATTCTTCCTCTTGCATATATATCGTGTCTCCTCTATTATTATCGGCATTCTCTAGTCAAACCTGTTACCCTGAACTGCTCTGTAGATAATCTGTCAACAAACTAAAGAATAACAAAAAGATGCTGCTCTCATGAGTAGAAACTGCTTGAAGCTCATCTGGAGCTTTTCATTTGTGTTCTTCAGACTCCTGTCGAGTATCATTGGGAGCTGACTCTCTGTTCATCTTACAGAATTACTCCATGTTGAGTGCCATAGAGAAAGTAGCAAGGAACCTTGCATATTTCATAGACTCAGAGAACAGCCCAGCTTGGAAGATACCGAAAAGGGTCATCTGGTCCTACCTTTCCTTGAAAAGGGCGGCTAGATGAGGTTATCTAGAACCATGTCCAGTTGTGTCTTGAAAGCCTCCAGTCCTGGGCACTCCACCATGTCACATGTTGTTCCAGTGTATGATTGTTCACACTGTAAAATATTTTTTTCTTGTATCTAGACAATATTTGGTTCATTTGAAATTCAGTTGAATGTTACCCATATTGTGCTGTAGCTGCTCTAGAAAACAGAAGCCACGGTTCTACCCGTAGCCAGGGTTTTTCTACCTTTCCTCTTCCTTGAGTTGGACCTGGTTGTATTGCTTGATTAGTTTGCTGAACTCGCTCAGCCAGCTTCAAGGCAGTTGCTAGTTTGGCACAGGAGAACTGGGAGCACAGTGCTGACAGTTAGGAATTGATACAGATGATTTAAAGAGTGATCAAATGTGATGGAAAGACAGGCTAACACTGCTCCAGGAGGTGTAAGATGCTGTAAGATACTAGACTGTAAACAACTTCAATGAAATAACTATTGAAGAGTTGTTGGTGTTGTTTTTCCTGTACTTTTCTTGAAACACCTGGTAGACATATTATGTCTGAGGAAGATACAGACAGATGGTAGAAAGTAGTTTCCCACAAGTGAGATTATTTAGTATAACTTCATATCTGATAGTTTTATTCTGAGACTCTAGAGGAAAATAATATGACAGATACCTACCTACTTCATCAGGATAGCAAAAAAACTGTGGTTTGTGTGCTCATAAAAATAACAAGAATGAGTCTAAAACTTAAGTGAAAGATGACCTGTTTCATCTCAATGTAAACTGGTGAGCTGGCATCCCTAGGTTTTTATGCAGTGCTAATGTGAAAAAGAGCACAGAGGCACTCTTCCTTTTCTTCAAGAAAAAAAAATTAAGAATTACTATGTCTTCATTTATCTTTAAAACTGTATATCTCCCTGGATCCATAAATTATTTTTACTTTTCTTTCAAGAACAGGTGAGATTTGAAGAGAGGTATTTTACTACTGAATGTGGTTTTTTAATATGTTTTTTTAAGGGTGATTTTGAGTTTTCAGCCAAAACCGAGAACTCTTTCTGCTTGAACTCCTGATTCTAGATGCTTACCAGAATATTTCTTTGCTTTTTTATTTTTTCACTGTGTGAGTGTAGATATTCCCACAGGTTAGGTAAGTTCTGCACAAGTTATTTCAACAAGTTACTATTCTGTCTTCCCACTCCCCTTTTTAAATATCTTCGCCAAGATAAATTCTGACTGAAAGGGAAATGAGAGAATGAAGCTGTCTCAGATGTTGACTTCCACAGTGCCTGCCTTCTGCACTGTTCTCCTGCATGTCCATTCCATGTGTCCTACTGCTGACTGTCCTTTTGTACCTGATACAGCACAAATATGCCTGTTTGCCTGTACTCATATTTGTAGCAGAAGCTGGGAGTTCAGGATAACGTGTCTGTTTTGTAGAATGTAGGAGTCACTACAATAGTGTCACTACACCTGAGCTGAACAATATTGCTGTCTTTTCTCTTGTGATACATGTGTTTAGCCTCAAAATTTATTTTGTTACTAATGTGTGCTCATATAGATGTGTAATACAAATAGAAAAAAACAAACAAATTGACTTTGAGTGTAACTGCTTTCTCTCAGGCACTTCAACACATCGAGTCTCTTGTGTGACTGCCAGTTAAAATGGCTACCACAGTGGATGTCAGAGAACAGCTTCCAGAGCTTTGTAAATGCCAGTTGTGCCCATCCTCAGCTGCTAAAAGGGAGAAGTATTTTTGCTGTCAGCCTGGATGGGTTTGTCTGTGGTAAGTATAGCCTCTATTTCTCATTCCATAGAAAAATTTTGCTGTATGCTTAGTTTTTGTTGTAGTTTCTTCGATATGTTTTGATTTCTATAATAAAATGGAGAGGATTTGATATTTATTAACATTTTTTCCTGTTCCCAAACTGTGATGTAGATACTCAAAACTTGTAGTTTTGTACAAGTTGGGGAGTGACAGTCTTTTGGCTTTTATTTTATGTACAGCTTGCTTACATAGTACGTAGCATAATGTACAAGGGAAGGCTCAATAGTTCATGGTGGTATATGTGTATGCCTCCATTTACACTGTTGATATTTTGTATTACCAGACAGTAAATGCTAGTAAAATATTTTTACTTGAGAATTTGAGGTGATAGTATCTGCCTTAAAAATCAAAGTTTTCTGTGTGTGTTTAGTAGCATTCATTATTCACCTGTATGTTGTGTTCTCTATTTAAAGCAAAGTGAAACTAAGCATTCAGAGTAAAGATGTGTGTTTAGGTACTCTGATACATAAAGTGGGAACTGCAAAAATATTAGGAAATTAAAAGCTAACTGGATTTCATGTATTTTTGTTGAATACATTTTTTTTTACTAAAAAGGAGTCAAACTTTGTATTCTTCGTAGACAAAACAGTAACTATCTTCTCAATAATTTTCCTCTCATAACAAATATAACTACTTAATTTTTACTGTTGCTGCTCATATCCTTTTTTCAGTGGGAAAGCAGGTACGGAGTATAAAATAGTATACAAAAATGTTGTTTTCTCTCTTTCTATTAGCAGTCAAATATTTAATAAATAATGAGTAGGTGCTGGCTACTGCTGAAAAGGAGAAGTTGACAGTGCAGAAAATTACAGATTACTTAGTGGTTAAAGGAGTATATATGAAGTATACATCCTTATTTATGAGAAACTCATTCTGTCAAAAAATTAAATTGGGAATTTAAATATATAACTTTTATTTGTTAAACCAGGGGCTTTAACAAATTGTGACCTTTCTTTTAGCTGCTGAATACCGTTTTTAATTAATTCATTTCAAACCCTTTAAGATGTATTAGCAAAAGGGAATGTACTAATAGTTGTTATATTTAATACTTAACGTAATTGTCATGCAGAAGTAACTAAAATCTCTTAATACAATCAAATAAGTGATTCACTTAAATCTTTAAAGTGTACCATCACTAGACATTTGGGTGTACACACCTTGCCTTACGAGTTTACAATGACTGCTTTTGCTTTTATAGAATTTTTAAGAGAAGTGTATTGACTCCTGAGTGAAATTAAAATGTGGGTATAAATGTGTGTCTCTGTGATACATTCATCCAAATACACATTCAAATAGTTCTTTTCTTCCGGTGTGTTCTTCTGTATTCTGTACTGTATGCTTATTTGAGTGACCTTTTTATCCCCCCCTTCCTGTCAAATAATTAAGATTGAAATATATTCTCCCGTCCTCTCACAGGGCTAATTTAAGTATTTACAGTGCTTTACTTTAGTTATCTCTGTGCAAAGTCAGTGAAAGTATCAACTTAATTTTCAAATTGTATAGTTTGTCATGGAGGACTTAAGGCATGGGTATGAGGCATGAAAAACAAATGGCCTTGGAGATTCTTAAGGTCCTTGCTTAGAGTCCCAGATTCGCGTTGCCCTGTCACTGGAGCACAGCTTCAGACCCGCGTGTCTTTTGCAGGCAGCTCAAGGCTCGGCTATCTGCACATCTTATTTTCTTTTGTAACACACAGCGTGAAAGTTCTTTTAAGAAGTAACACTTTGACCTTGGTATGTGATTCCCAAACAAATGAGATGTAAGGAGACAAGGGGCTAGATAAAAATGGACTCTTGTGCAGGGAAGAGTATTTGGGGCACAGGCCTTTTCCTGCAGTTCCTGTGAAGTTTTTCAGGAGATTGGAGACATCTTGAAAAATGGGAATATGCTAAGGCTTTTGCTTTTGGGAGACCAGGCATCTAATTGCCCACTGCTTTTATACATGCAGTGTACATACAATTGAATAAATAATTCAGAAGGCAATAAATTCTGTAAACTCACAGCATGTCACTTTGAAGGTAACTTTTCAATGGTAAGGAGACCTCAAGAAATTAATGTCTTGAAGTTCTTGTGTGCTGTCCTGCTTAAGGGATCTTTATCCTTTTTGGACCAAACAGCCACAAATCACTGAAACACTGGCTTTTGTACACGATTTCTTGTTTATGGGTTTGGGTAAAACCCTTGACTATAACTTACAGTTTCTGACGGCAGAGGAACTGTACTTTCAATAAAGAAAAACCCGCAACAGCCTCAGGTGTTATAAATATGAAGGGTAGGCTTCTTGACTGATGTTTGGAATAGTTCTTATGGATGTCAGGGGGTAGTTCTTCCATCTTTAGGGCTGCTATTAAACAAACTATACACGTAGTCTGATTTTAAATGTGCTTTTTTTTCAACGAGAGATGACTTGGCACAATAAACTCATAAAATATGGCATCTTCAATGTGCTAAGGCTAGTGAAGTTTAAAACTAAAGCATTGTGTATCCATTTTATAAACAGTTATCTGACTCCTCTCTCAAACCTATAAAACAAGGCTTACAAACTCTTTCTGAAAAGAGTCCTCAGGCCTCACCTTTATTTTTTTTTTTCTCTTGCCCTGTGTTACTTTTTCTCCCTTCTGTGCAGATGATTTTCCTAAACCGCAGATCACCGTACAGCCAGAAACCCAGTCAGCAATCAAAGGCTCCAATTTGAGTTTTGTGTGTTCGGCAGCCAGCAGCAGTGATTCCCCAATGACTTTTGCATGGAAGAAAGACAATGAATTACTGCAAGATGCTGAAATGGAGAATTATGCACACCTCCGGGCACAGGGCGGTGAAGTGATGGAGTACACTACCATTCTTCGACTGCGCAATGTTGAGTTCAGTAATGAAGGGAAATACCAGTGTGTTATTTCAAATCACTTTGGTTCATCTTACTCTGTGAAAGCCAAACTTACAGTAAACAGTAAGTATGTTACTTTTTGCTTGTGGCCTTAAAAGTAGAATGATTTTAATCAAGATACGTAAACACAGTTTTTCCATTCTCATCATCTGCATCTTTTAAGAGATCCCTTAATATGCTGAGATTATTTCTTAAAATACATCTACTTCTAAGATCAGACCATTCAGCTTTACATCTGGTCCCATTGTGTTGAAGCATATTATAGGAAAAAACAAGTAACAAGATTCATAGTAAATCTTATAGACAAATTCTACATCTGCAAGATGGAAAAAACATTAATCCTGTCTTCACAGGAGGTAAGTGTATGCTTTGTTTCAAGGTGCTGTGGAAAGGTCATGTAGGAGGCTGTTTGCAGAAATGAGATTTGGATCTAGGGGGTCTCACATACTTCGCAGTTCCCTCCGTTTCTCTCTGCTGGATACTGATAAATTTAGGTTGTGTGCTTCTCTGGCATTTTTAGGCCAACAAAGGGTGTTAAGAAAATGTTGTGCAAAAAAGAAAACATATGTTTCATGTATTCATTTTGGTATCACTAACTTTTCTTTAGTGCTGCCTTCATTTACAAAGATCCCCATGGACTTAACCATTCGAGCTGGAGCAATGGCACGTTTGGAATGTGCTGCAATTGGGCATCCTGTCCCACAGATTGCTTGGCAGAAAGATGGTGGAACAGATTTTCCTGCAGCGCGCAAGAGGCGCATGCATGTCATGCCTGAAGATGATGTATTCTTTATTGTTGATGTAAAGATTGAGGACACAGGTGTTTATAGCTGTACAGCTCAAAACACTGCTGGAAGCATTTCAGCTAATGCAACATTAACAGTACTAGGTAAGATATTGGCAATCCTTAATAGCGTAATCACTATTGTGATGCAAAATAATAAAAGTTAGTTTTGTTTCTCAGTGTCTTCACAGCTCATATGCCAGGGGGGAGTAGGGCAAAGGGGCTTCTATTTGCATTCAGAGACAGTAGATTTTGTTTAACTTTTGATTTTGTTACATTTTGTTAACCATTTTTATTCTAGTTCTCTGCAACCTTAAGCATGTATGATTTGGCCTTTTTGCCTTCTGAGGTAATCAAACATTTAGGTCTGATCAGTTGACAAGTAAATTGTAGGCTCTAAAGTCAGAGTCCTTGAGTTTTTTCTGAAAATCAGAGTAAGCTTCATTAGGCCTTACTGATGCATTTAATTTAGCTTTTCCTCTTGAGCTCTGAAGGAAAGGGACATGTTCTCATTTTTGCAAGGTCATTTAGGATATAAGGCTTGTGCTTTCTTTTCAGAAACACCATCATTTTTGCGGCCTTTGATGGATCGAACTGTAACAAAAGGGGAAACTGCAGTCTTGCAGTGTATTGCTGGTGGTAGTCCTCCACCCCGACTGAACTGGACTAAGGATGACAGCCCTCTCGTGGTAACAGAAAGACATTTCTTTGCTGCAGGCAATCAGTTACTAATTATTGTGGATACAGATGTAGAAGATGCTGGAAAGTACACCTGTGAAATGTCTAATACGCTTGGGACAGAACGTGGCAACATCCGTCTTAATGTAATTCCTACTCCCACTTGTGATTCTCCTCAAAATGTTGCCCCATCACTTGATGATGATGGATGGGCCACAGTTGGCATTGTGATCATAGCTGTGGTTTGCTGTGTGGTGGGCACTTCCTTGGTGTGGGTAATCATCATCTACCACACAAGAAGGAGGAATGAAGATTGCAGCATCACAAATACAGGTGTGTAAACTGAAGGTTTGCCTTGGAAAGGAAAAAAATGTTTGTGGTTGCTTTGCAAAGACTTTATTGTAGGAACATTTGAGTGCTTTGACTCAGAAGAGCGAATTACTTGTTACTTTCAGTGCTTTGCTGACAAATTTATAAGTACTTCTACAAGCTGAAGTATGCTGATGGCTTTTGTATGTGTTTTGCATCCCCGCAGATGAAACAAATTTGCCTGCTGACATTCCCAGTTACCTGTCATCCCAGGGGACACTAGCTGAAAGGCAGGATGGATATGGCTCATCTGAAAATGGCAGTCATCATCAGTTCCTCACCTCTTCTGTGGGAGGGTATTTCTTGCAGCAGAGAGACAGTAATGGTAGGTATAAAATGCTAAGCAGATTTTCTATGTTGCTTGAGTAGCTGTAGTTTTGCTATTGTCTTTCTGACTAGTAGAAATAACACTAAAGAAGCGTCTTTACTGAAGTTTGAGGATGTGAAATTTATTGCTTAATATTGCTTCAAAAAGATAATAACAGGAACTCGGATCTTTTCATCCAAATAACGTTATGGCTTTTATTAAATTATGAAGTTTTTCTCTAATCTCAAGGGTAAATTTAAACTGATGATCACATTTCCAAAAGAAGTGTCCAAAGCAACAGCTTGTCTTCAGCTCTTACAGCTTGAAAAGGATCCTTTAATGGAATGTAGGCCTACGTGATAATACCAGTGTAACTTTAGTTTAACTCTTTAAACTTGCCAGTTAGAAAAGTCATTAGGGTCAGAGTCAAGAGATTTAAAGTGACTGCAAGTTACCTTATGCTGCAGTACTTGGTATTTATACATCTGGCACCTGAAAATCTAGTGCAACATACCTGCATTAGGGAGGAAAAGGCACTTTGCTGGGAAGAGGTAGGGATTGAGATACAATCGGGAGTTGGAACAGGTGGCAATGAAGTGGTGGTGAGATAGTGCTACAATTGTAGGGTAGTGAGAGGAGCAGCCTCTTTGTGGGTCAAGAACCACAGACCATGTCCACACCTTCAGGAACATTTTACCTGAAAATCTCTATAGCTGTTCAAGCAGCCAGTGACTCCTTCAGATTCTTCCACCCAGGACTTTTGTGTTGACAGTCTGGGCTCCAAAAGGTATCTGTGAGACAGAGCATAACCTGGCTTCCAGTGCTTTAGAAGTCGTCCCTGGCTTTGATCCCTGTGATGGGTTTGGTTTTGTTATTTAGGGGTTGTATCATGAAGCAAAGTGTGACACATTCTCTGTTAAGCTAATTAATTGAACACTTACTGGAATTAGAATTCTCATCAAAAGGTTAGGTTGAACCTAATCAAGCTCTAAAATACACTATGAAATGCAGTTGAACACATGGGATTCTTAAGAAACTGTAAGCCAAAGATTCAGAAAAGATTTTATACTGACATGTCAATTTTATTTTTAAGGCATTTGCCATCTAGATAACAGCAGTGAAACAGACATGGAGGGTGTTGCAGATCCATTCCTATGCCACTATCTGGGGACTTCAGGGACTTTGTATTTAAAAGGAAACACATATAGTTCTGATGCATTTGAAGCATATAATGCAAGTAAGTTGGCAGGGGGGAAGTTTTAGTCCTAATTCAGTCTTGTGTTATGATGAATCTGTATGAAAACAATTTTTCATTTTCTTTAGGTTGCAGCCCTGACCAAAGAACAGCATGCTTGGATCCTTATGACTCTGGATATTTAAGGAAAAAGGAATGCTATCAATACTTGCCTCCACTGGATGATCCCTTTGACCAGTGTGTTGGCATTATCGGGATGCAGGCTGCAAGTAGCAGATTGATTAATTCTGTTTATACTCAAAATGAAGGAACTGGATTAAAAAGCAAGTCTCTGAACTTGGACACATTTGATTTAAACAGAAGTTTGGAACCCTCATCTGTTATGAGTAACAGCACTTTCATGGGTATGTTCTAGCTGTTGTTTTTTATTCAAACTTACTGTCTTGCTTCCTCCTTACAACACTAAGCAAAACTGATTTCTCAGCTTTTTCTTTCCCAAATGTTTTAAGCTGAGGAACAGAGGAGTGGTTATAGTAACACTGTGTGATGAGAATATTTAGGTTACTGGGATGTCTTAATAGCTCACACTTACACGAAAGTTTCATCAGTGATGTGATTCTTATCTTCTGTCTTAATATAGATGGCAAATTTCTGTAAATGTTAGGATACATGACAGACAAAAGGTATGCAAGGTCTCAGGAGGGCTCAGGGCAGGTGGGGAGACTTGAACTTGTATAAGTATGTATCATGTAACATAGGGAACCAGAATTATTTACCCTTCAAAGTAAGGCACTATATAAAAATGCTCTCTCTACCCCCCTTTGTCCTTTTCTCATGGTTTGTATGACAAAAAGAGTTCCCAAAGTTTAGTTCAGGGTTTACAGTTTTAATCCAGATTGCAGGAAGAAGTAGGGGGGAAGGAGAAAAGCTTTACCTTTGAAGCTTCTTAAGTTTTGGATATTGGTTGGGCTGTTTGGTTTAAAATGCATATAAAACCACATACTGCTCTCATCCTTGTGATATCTTTACACCAAGCACAGCCCTGGTACTGTGGATTGTTTCCCGGCTGGTGTGTCAGCATTGGCTGATCAAGGCCTGGGTCTGATGGCTCTGCAAGGGGACCTGGGGGAATGCACATCACTGGGCTCTTTGTTCTCAGGGGGTGGGGAGGGAGGCACAACCTCTGAAGTTTTCCCCCTTGGAAAAGAAAGCCAGATGTTTGAACTATAAAATGTTGCAGATGCCAGGACATCTGGCAGAGGCCCTGCGACTACACGTGGCCAGCCCCCTGGCTGCCTGCCACTATTACTGTGGTGGGACTGTGTGGATAGGGCTCCTGCAGGAAGTAGTTCAGCTGTACATTGGTATACCCTGGAGTTAATGCCATATCAAGGGCACATAGTCCTCTTTTTGCCCTAAAAATCCATACAGAGCTACTCTTTTCGTCAGTTCTCTTAGGCTACTACCCCACTTAAGTTGCATCATCACTGCCTTGGATGCTTTTTAATCATTAGCGCTCTTGCCTCAAAGAACCTATGGCTAGATCTCGGAGGTGGTGGCTGTGGAAGAAGTTGTGATAGATTTCTTGTCCTTAGTTGTGAATCCACTTTTTTAGCATTGTCTTCAAATTCAACTCCCCTTTTGCTTATACAGTCACAATGAAGAAGACAACTGGAATTAACTTTACTGTCAATGCATGAATCAGGAAGTTCATAGCTTGGATTTTGGTTTTTAAGATAGGACTCATTTGTAGCTTTGCTGTTGTGAGGAACATCCTTTCATATTGTATTAGGTTAAAATTGCTCTACAAATCATTGATGCAAATGTGGATCTTGTCCAATTCCATTTTTAGTAACTTCTCAGATGACAGTTTTACTTGAAACCCTTGCTTCTAGCCCCTAAGCAAAAGCAAAAGTGTGGTGGTTTGGGTTCAAAATTTATTAAAGATAGTAGTGTTAAGTTATTAATAAAAACTCAAGTTCTTCAAAATCAGCCTGTGGCATGTTTTCCTCTAAAAATAAGTCCTTTGAGTGTCTCTTACAGACGCTGATTTGCGATAGCTGTATCAATGAAAAAAGAGAAGGCCCTTCTTGCAGAGGTGTTGATGCTAATTATTTTCTGACTAGTAAATCCAGATAATTATTTATAAGATTGAACTGAAATGCTGAATTCTTGTTGGGTTACAACTGTTCTCTTTGTCCACAAATGGCTAGATGATCAGTTATGAATGGAGCATGTGGCTAGCTGGACTTTTATTATTAATGAGACATGCTAGCCAGAAAAAGATTTCTTTAGCATTTGGATTGCACTGTGGGATGATGTTGCATAACGCAATACAGGTCAGGAGTTAAATTTTTTTAAAAACCTGTTTTATTTTTTCTGAACTACATGGCAGATGGTATGTGCCATTCGTTCACTGAAGAACAAAACAGGGAGACTGCTGTGACCTTTGCATTGGAAAGTGTCTTGTGTTTGCAGTTTGGTCTGTGTTCCCACCTCCTCCCTCACCACCCTCTCCAAATTAAAATGGGTATGGAAGTAGTCATGAAAACAAAAGAAAGAAAGTTGTGGGTGGCTATACAAGTGCTTTGGAAATGTTTTTAATGTCTCAGGTGGCAGAGTCTTGCTTTATGCTTGTGATCACATCGATGTTTTCTTTTAAGGGGTAAAACAACAGTGAAGTAAAATTTCACTATGGTGAACTTTTTCTGTCAATCTTTGGCTTGCATTCCAACATGCAGCCCTTGGTGAGGCACAAAGCTGTTAGCATCGGTATTTCTGTACTCACTCTTTTACTGTCTTTCAGGAACATTTGGAAAGCCTTTATGGAGGCCTCAGCTGGACACTCTTTCAAGTTGTAGGCAGCCAACAAATTGCCAACCGAAAACCTCCCATAATAATCATCATGCCTCACTGGACTTTGATGCAGAGGCAGATGAAGAGGGAAAGGAAAGGACAGATTCTAGAGGAGAAAATAGCTTTTATACTTGCCAACAGTCATTTGAAAACTTTAGGACTTCATCTTTCCAATCCTGTGATTTGGATACATAGCTTTTTTTGGACTTGCTATTGATTTCTGGAACCAAGAAATACTTTGACATACTACTACCTCAGTATGAAACTTTATTTAAAAAGAGACTAAGGAAAAGAAGAAGGAAAGAAAGAAACCACATGATGCTATGAATTCTGAAGAAAAAAATGTATTTTTATTCCAATAAAGCATAATTGCCAAAGTGCTCTTCATTTGTTGTACTGAAAAAACATTCCTTAAAAAATACTATATTTGTAATTATTTTATAGCTTTTTTAATGCAAATATATTTTGTAAATTAATGGTGTAAATAATACAGCACATGTATTTCTATGTCAGACTTCATTTTATTGAAATAAGCAGTAAGCATTCTAATTTTTTATTGCTACTTGTACCTTCTTACAAATGGAAACTCCATGCTGTTTGCAGGTATCATGCATCTTATTTGCACATTACTTTTAATAAAATCTGCTGCTGTGTGGTCTCTGACCCACATTAGTGTATGAAGAATGAACAGTGTGAATTACGTTTCTAGACAGTGTTTTCTGATGCATGTTTGCACCTTTGTTTGACCTAAACTTGTACCTTTAGATTTACTGTGTAAAATATGTTCATCTTCAAAGAGTTGGTGTGGTCCTGCCATGGCTGCTGGAAAAGTGGCTTGAAGCTATTTCAACCAAAATAAGTATGCGAGTCTTTTCCACTTAGCGAATTTCCACTGTGCGCACACGCTCCCAGTTTTCATGCACACAAGGCTGTAGTACTGCCAGTTTTTCCATGCCTGTGTTGTAGTGTGCCTGCATTTGTTGGAGGATATACACAGTAGATGCACAAATTCATATCAAGCTATTCAGTAGAAGAAGAAAAAAGGCACTATATATCTGCCTGGTAACACTGCATTTTTCTGAGCGGGTTAGTGTTCAGTGTTTGCCAAATATGCCATGCATGCCTGAGTCTTTGCTTTCCCATACCCTTTCTCCCTCCTTTTTTGCTTCTACGACCATTCCATGCCCAATATGAGAAGGTAATCCAAGTACAAGATAATGTTTACTTTGGTTTAATTTGTGTTTCTGTTCCTTACTTGGCTGCCTTTCTCTGGTTGTAAATGAGATCTGTGCTTTATTTAATTGCTCGGCCAAGTTGAACAATTGAATTCTTGCTGGATTATATTTGCAGTAATGAACACAATATCTTCAACTCTAAGAAGTTGGAGAAAGAGGATTGCTTATTATAACATAGTAATTAAAACTTAGTGAAAACACTCTATTTTGGTTTTCTGTGTACAGATACCTACTATTTTAAAAATCTGTGAATCTTGTTGTCATCACTTCATTAGAACAGTGAGATTCTAAAGTGGTTACTATAGGAGATTGGCTTTTTAAATCTGCCTGCTTTGAAGGTGCAAACTTACATGGTTGCCAGATATCTTCTTTTAAACTAAATTAAATGCAGCTGTTAAAGTAGGCCATCACAGGCATCATGGCTAAAGCTCGAGCAAAGATTTCATTGCCTAGTGTAGCTGAGTTAAGGGCTTTTAGTTGTAGCCAGAAACCTGGTACCCAGATTGCAATGCAATTTCCCTTTACTTTAGGCACCAGTATTAGAGACAGGAAGTTAATCCATCCTTGGTCGCTGGTGGTCTAAGTGTACAGAATGGATTTTGCATGCTTTAGTTGATCATATTGCCAGATTTTTTGACTTATTGTTAATTTGTCTTCATTGCTGCCAGATGTGCTGATGTGCTGACAGACATTGATATGGGTATTTGATTATAATTAAGTGCATTTGAAAGAGATAATTTTTCATGAGTTAAACAAAAGCTATAAGTCAATAAGGCAAGAAATCTTAAATTTTATTCACTCGATAGCTCTCCTTTTGCTCCTCCTCAACCCCCTCCCCCCTGACCCCATTTTTAGGGAGAGAAGAGCTGGGGGCTGTAATAAGCTTGTGTATGTAACCAAACATTGCCTTTTTGACATATTAAAAAGCAACAAAGTTATAAACGGTAAGTACATTTTTCATTCCAGAGTTAATGTTTATCCTTAATAACCCATCATAAAAAACAAGCCTTAAATTTATTTTCTGCAGGGGGGGAGGGTTGAGAAAAATGGCAATGCCATTTATTACTTTTTCATCTTCCTTGAAAAGATCCTAATCTTCCAAAGGCTTGGATCTCTGTACCTAAATAAATGTTCAGGGTCAATGAATTTTAAATGCTTTCTATCAAATTTCATTTAGCAACCTAAACATACAAATGACTTAAACTTTTATTTGATGCCTTAAGTACCCATAAATGGAAGTGAAAGCTCAAAAGTCCTCTTTTCTGCCAGCCAGTTTTTGTGTTTAATTAATGGATTGTGCTTAAATAGAGTGGTAATCTGTAAATTTCAAGATAGTTGCAATATCTTAATAGTTCTTTTAAGGCCACTGATGTAACCAAACATCTGTTTTAAAGGCTTGCAAGTTCACTTGCCTTCGTTCTCTTCCCCCCCCCCCCCTTTCTTTTTCCCCTCTGAAGATTCAGATGTTAGGGAGTTGGATGTTTACACAACTGAAAGCTAAATTTTAAGTTGATGTGATGGGAAAATAAGTTGCAGCCAACAGTATCTTATACTGCATCTCAGAGTCTTAGAATGAGAAACAAGTGTTGCTGAATGACAGACATTTTGCAGTTTCATGACCAGCAGCAATTGAAATCTTGTCATGGACTCAAAACTTGTAGAATGTTCTTTAAAGGCAGTATGCTCTTAATGCTTTACACAACAGAATGTTTTGCTTGTTGAACTCATGCAAGCAACTGCTGAGGTATAGTTTCTGCAAACCCTGAATAATAATTTTAAAAATTTCAGATAAATAGAGTTACTCATTTACCAGAATCTCTCTGGAGCAAGCATTTCAAAACAGTAACCTAAATGGTGTGCATAACACTGGTGGATACCTGCATGCTGGAGGCTGTTACTATTTCAAAGACAAAACCTTACAGAGTGCTACAGTATTTCAGCACCAAATGCTTTAATTTAGAGCTCTTTACTTCAGTGTAAATGGATCTTGACAAATGGCAAAGAGCTAGGCCCAAAGTTTCTGCCAGAGAATATTGCCACTTCTCCAACCGAGGACTCGTTAGTGTCACCAAACATTTCAGTTTCAGGGATCTCTTGAACACTTAAACCTTATTCCTTGAGCTGCTTCAAAGAAGCTTAAAACTAAGAGGTATATTTGCGCTGCAAAAATTTGTGTTCTGCCAGCCTTACAGACCAGGACCATAACTGTGGATTGTGTTGCTTTTTTGAATATAAATATAAGTAGAAATTGTACTAGCTACTTGTAAGACTTCTTGTTGCAGATGTGATACATCTCAGAGAATTACACTTACAGATTTTTGCCTTTTTTTCTCACTTTGTGTATTGCTTTGTCATAGAGAACGTGACTGACTACTTGGATATCAGTTTACCAGCCTTATGTAATTATTTTATTAAGAAAATAAGGGGAGAAAAGAGCCTCAGCCTGTTTAGTGAACGGAAGAAGCCAATGTATAACAAGATGCAGTTCTTGTATGTAACCATTTTACTCCAGTGAAGAACTTACTAGATACCTTACTTTATTATGTTTCAGGGAAGTGTTACTTATATAGCAGTGAATAAAAGCAATAGTATCTTTACTCACTAATGTGTGGCAAAAGGTGCTTCTCATGGTTTTTGTGCTAAAGTATTTAGAGGTCAGTAGTTCCACTGAAATAACATATGTGCACACCCTATCACTTACCAAAAGGCACATGTAGCCTCTCCTGTTTCCCAGGCTGCTCTTTTTCTCAGCTCAGTACTGCTCCCATGTCCTCAGGGGACCTTCTTTGATAACCTACACTATTCTGCTTCTAGTTTCTCTGCTTGTCCTATCACTATGGTGTCAGGCTAGGACAAATGGATTTGGTTTACAGAGTATAGTGCAGTTGCAGGCAGTAAGGAGAGGTTGGATGCTAGAAGAGAGAAGGGGAATTGTGGGAAGACAGGCTAGCCACAGCATTAGGAAGATTTTGGTACAAATGTGCAGTAAATTCATAATTGAGGAGGCAGAAATAAAATATCTACAATCAAATATGTGCATTCTTGTCCTCTTTACAATGCTTTTTGTATATTTAATTCCACTCATCTTCTGCTTTAAAATGCCAGAAGCAGCTGTGCACCAAAGAGCACATCATCTGGAGAGTTACGCCTTACTGCATCTAAAATGTCCTTTTCTGTAGGCAAGAAACAAGATCCATTTGTTATTCTGTGTTTGTGTTCAAGTCTAAATATTGCTGGTGCAGTGCATAGTTTCCCAGAGTCATGGGGTCCACTGTGTCAGAATGCGTGTGATCAGTGTGACTCAAGAATGCCATGGGACAGCAGGACCTGGGAGTGAAGTTGGTAGCATTTCACTTTACTGCTTGTAAAACAAATTTAGGCTTTGTGACTTGAGCTCAGAATTTTATTTCCCACAGAACAGAGAACAGAACCATAAATTACTCTAGATTAAGGACTACTGATAGCACTTCTACACGATCCCTTTTCCTCAGCCCTCAACAAGAGCTTTTGTATTATTCCTGTTCAGTTTGGCTGTTGACTGTGGGCTGTTCGCCAGCAAGTGTAGTGCAGGAGTTTGCAATCTGAGCACCTCTACATACTATGTTCTGAAATGAATGGTGACTAATTTTAAGCCCTGTGAATTTCAAATATGCCACTGGAAATGATATAATACCCTCTCATTTGCCATAGCAATGTGCAGCCTGCTTATTTTCAGGACTTCCTTTGTGGATGTGCTTGAAGAAGCTATGATTTATGATTTGAGTCTGCTGCTGGATTATCAAAATCCAGGTATTGATTATAGAGCCGTTTGAAATAACTTCTTGATCAGTGAGTCTTCAACTTCTTTTATGGCTAAATGATGAAAAACCACATCCATTCCTATCCAGTTAAAGAAACTACCTTTGACACTCTTCCTGATGTTCAGCCTACTTATTTTAGAAATAACTGAACAAAAGACTGTAATGGAGTAATTGACATTGATGTCCTTGGGTTTTGTTTATGCTTCCATTTTGCTTTGCTATAACATGGAGAATTCAGGGCTCCAACCTCTGTTCAAATGGTGAGGTTTCATACTGAGTTTCGTAGATGTGCCAGCAATGGACAGCCCTATCTAATTCTGTCCTGCTGCTAACGTGCTGGCACACCATGATA